TGCACAGAAGAAAAAGATATCCCAGAAGAAACTGAAGAAACAAAAACTTATGGCACGGGAATAAATTAAGCATAAAAAAAATGCAAATAAAATTAATGTTGTCTGTTAACAAAAGAAAATGAATACGATCATTATCTGGTACAAAGTTTTCCAGCCTACATATATATGCAAATTACTTGAGTTTTAAATTATACTATGGACCCTGAAAGACATTATGGACAGTGAAATAAATTAGCTGCAGAACTATAATTATATGGTGTCATGTGGAAGCTTAAAAGCTTGATTTCATAACTACTACTAAAACTTGATTTCGTCTTTGTAGAGCTAGGTTAAAGAGAAAGTGAGTACAAGGGATGAAAGGTACAAAAATGCAGTTAGATAAGGGGATAATTCTATTCTATAGTACAGTGGGGTGGCTATAATATACTACTATTTATTTTATATTTTATGAAGAGAGGTGATTGAAATTTTTCCAACACAAAGAAAGAGTGTTTAAGGGGCTAGAAATGCTAATTTTCTTCACTTATTACCTATGATATAGATGTATTAAATTATACGGTACTCTCTGTGATTATTATGTACCAGGAAATTAAAAAATGTATGTATGACTGTGCTCCATGGTAAGGCAATTATATCACCATTACTGGTGCTAAGACCTATAAAATCAAATATTTCAGAAGTTTCTTAGTGATCTGATATGTGGCTAGTTTTGATAATTTAGTATGAATTAGAGATTGATATTATAAAAACTTGAAGAACCCTGAACATTGTTTTGTGTAACAGAGACATTGTCTAATACATACAAAGGAGGGTGTCTTCAGCTTCTTGGAAGAGTGAGCATTAATCTCAGAAAATGGTTTAGAAAGAAGGGTTTTATCTGACAGATCAAGTTGGGAAGGGGTCAGCTAGGTGTGTTGTAAAGATTTATAATACAAGCACGAAAAAATGTAAAAGTCTGTGTAAAATATCTGGCACATGGGCCAGTGTGGTGTTGCATGCCTGTGAGTCCTCCTAGAACTTTAGAGGCTGAGGCAGAAGAATAGCCATGAATTCTTACATAGTGAGTTTAAATCCAGCTAGAACTAAATAGTGATACCCTCAAAATAAAATATTTGACATACAATGAAAGGAATGACATTAATGTAGAAGATAGGTGGGAGAAAAGAATAGACGATGAGACTGAGACCAAATATTGGAGAATTGTATAAGCTTCTGTGCCTCATGCTGCAATAATTGCTGGCATGTACCAAAAGGTATATCTGCTGTATTTGACAAGAGCATTTTTATTTGAAAAAAGCAAATGTATTGGCTACTTAAGTATGATATTAGTTAAGCAGGAATTTGGCTTAGCAATAAAAGCCAAAGAACTGTTTTGTGTTTTTCTTTTTTTTTTTTTTAATGTATTTGGTATAGGGTTTCACTATGTACACCAGACTCGTAGTGATCCTTCTGTTTTCAGCCTCCCCAGCACTGGGATTACAGGCATGTGCCATAGTGTCTGGTCTCTAGGTGGCTGACTCAGCATGCCGGAGATCAAACCCCAGTCACTGTGCTTGCCTAAGCAGGCACTTAGTCCGCTGAGCTGTCTCACCAGTCTTGTGTGGTTTGTCTGTATAAGGGGTGATTTTTTTTTTGAGGCAAGAACTTGCCATGCAGTTCAGGCTAGTCTTGAACACATGTAGCTCAGGATGGCTCCAACTTGTGGTAGTCCTCCGTCCTCTGTCTCGTGAATGCTAAGATTATAGGCATGAGCCACAAAGCTTGGCTATAAGGGGCAGATTCTGAAGCTATGTATAATATATAGAGTATGCAACTCCTTGAGTGTAGATCCCTCCTTGCTAGGAAATAAAATAAATCTTCTTTAGGGATAGGAAAGCAATTTTGAAAATCCTTCAAAAATACAGAACCTCTTTGGACTCAAGAGCCATGAAAGATTTTTAAAAAGTTGTTTTTATTTTTTGTATTTTTGTGTAATAGCTATATATTAAGATATCATTACAAACCATACAGTTCATTTATGATATATAATTAAAATTTCTATTTTATTCACAAAGTACCATGATTTATTAAAAACCTTTTTGATTTGAAATGCATACAGAAAAATGCATGTGTAATATGAAGGCAACTTAATGAACATTACAGGTACCCTGCCGAAGCAACAAAATGTTCATTGTTTGCACCCAAGAATCACAACCTTAGCAGGATTACCTGTTCCCCTCTTGAGCAGTTTTTAGTCAAAGATGTAATTTTATTAGATTGTGAATGATCATCAATTTCTTTGCAGCATGACTGCAAGCTCTTTCGGATTTTAAAAAAGAACTGAGTGATTTAACAGGTTAAACGATAACAAGGATTCCCATACATCTTCAACAAAGGGAATCAAACTGGTGCTGCCTTTGAGAATTTGCTTAAGATGTAGAATGCTTTAGTGTTCTTGATTATGTTTAAGATTTGCTTTACTTAAGCCTGTGTGTGTGTGTGTGTGTGTGT